TAAGCACACTTTTGTGAATTCCATTCTCACTATCATTTTCTGCTTGAATAATCTCGAAAACTAAAGTTTGTGCTTTTGTTAAACCACCAACATTATTATTTGTCATAACATCATCCGTGTCAGTCTTTTTTTGAGTTACCATGCCCACTTTTTTACTCTTTAGCACTATATATGCTACTTCTAACAGATGACTGGTCAATTCATTTAAATTTGTTAGGGCACGTATTTTTAATACTAATACATGCTTCTTACTATCTTGTTCACGCAAGTGTCCATACACTCGTACATAAGTATTTAATTTAAATGTAGATGCTTCACTTGATTTATCAGCTTCTAACCAACGAAAAGCTGTAATAGTACCTGTAATATAATGAAATTATTAAAATTTTACCCTTCTTTACTTCTGTCACTATAATAGTTATCACAGAAATATTTGAATTTAATTAATATACCATTTTAGAGGACTATTTTTCTATAAATAATTTTTACCTGTCTCATCTTCAATTTCATAAGTTTCTTTAGTAGCGGATTCATCAATGTGCCGCAACATTCCAACTATACTTATCATATAAATTGGAATTCCACAAATTTTCAATTCGCCGGCAGACTTATTTAAAAGTCCAATCATAACAGGAACAATGTTACGTGATCTTTGAATATTTTTATTTGCGCTAGCGGCATTCTGGTCGTTGTTAAAAAATCCGCCCGAAACATTTTCCGTACTGTGTGTGTCATTGAGATTACCCCACATTATTTATTGTAATTAATACGCAGAATACAAATAATTTCAAACAGACACGCGCGTTTCTTATAGTTTTTTCGGCGTGTTGTTGTCCGCTGCGTAACAAATGAACGAGGTTATAGAATAACTTCGGCCATATTGTTTTGGTCACCCAGTGCTGCTATCTATCCTGAAATTGCGATTGTAAATTACAATTTGTAATAATGTAGCCTTATATTTGTAACTTCTCCAAAAAATAATTGCCTGACAAACCACATTGGTTAAAGTTAAGTTATTTACATATTGCTATACGTTATTCTTAAGTATACATGTAATATACATAGTAAAAAGAATGGATTTAGTTTCATATAAATTTATTCAATTTATTAATTTCATACATTTTAGTCAACTGATTATTTAAATTACATGATTAACAAGTAATAAATTTATTAATGTACAGTGTAGAAGACAAAGTACAAATACGTAGCTTTGTCAAAAACAATTAAAAATAATATTTTTCTTTAAATTAATTCTCAGTGTTACCATTGTGATAAATTTGATCTATGATTTATACATACTTTTGAGAAAGATGTCTATTATCGTTTCCACAACAAAGAATTTAAGTAAATTATAAAAACTTGCATTTCGAATAGATTTGTAATAACATTTAGGATATGTTAGAAATTATACACTAATTTCAAAATATATACAGATGGAATATCCAGAAAACAAATAGTGTTTTGTCTTTAAAGCGTGCTTTCAACATTAGATTTTACTACAAAATAATCGAAACATGTATTCATCTTACACTTTACAAAGACGACATTTGCTCAACTATTTTGGAAACGGAATTTTATGACCACTGTTGAAACGATCTATTAAAAGAAGGTAACTATTTAACAAAAAAGCTTCTAATTTACCGAACTTTATAAATTTGTCGCGGGACTGATTGATGTCATTTAAAGATCTAAATTTGTAATAAACGGTCCTGTTGATATCTCTAATTGGTTAGACTAAGTAAGAATAATGTACACAATAAATGAATTAGTTTTAAAAATCAGTAAATAGTTGGATGGATATTCTTTGTACAAGAATTTTCGTACAATTTCAGCTCTTTAAACTATTCAACAGTTTCATAGTGATTTGTGTTCGAGATTTTAAAGATCCGCAGCTTTGCACGAGACTAGCTTGTCCATATTTTATTATCGTTGCATGTACATCGTCTTCAGTATTATCTAGTCCTGTATTTATTTGATACTTTTCGAATTCAGTCAGCACCGAATCTAAATTCTGAATCCTTTTCGCAAGTAATGCTGAAATATCTTTCCAGCTCTAGAATCGAATAATGGAAATATAAATTAGTAATACTTTTAAATGCAATGTGCTTAATTCATATGATACTTCAGTGAACTGTCTTACATGATCGTTATCTTCCAACGAAACTGATTCTATTCCTTTGCAATACTTCTTTTTATTTTTCTTCTGCGAAGTTTGAGGTTGTAATCGAGTGGCATACATGGTACACATGGCACTAATAATTGCAAGAGATTCGCTACACGTGGATGCTCTCAATAGAAAATGTTTAAAAGATACTGAAATATCTTTTTCAGGAATATTTATCGTCTGGAGGCATGGAGACTCTCGCAGCATCTCGATACATTCAAAGTCAGGATAACGTGATCGAGACAGCGATTCTGCCAACTGAGCAATTGTCTTCAACTGCCAAGAATAATGAGCTTCTCGCAATCTTTCCACCGCATCCGTAGGAACCAATATTTTACACGGTCTATTCTTCTTTCCTTCTGATTCGAACGGATTCAGAGTCAGAGGTATTTGTTCATTATCTAGCTGTTTCAATTCGCTAGATAGTCGATTTAAAAGCAAAGAAGAATCTGGCATTGCACATGCTGCTAAAATTTTCAGTATTAAATTCCTTGCGACAAGTAATCTTAACATACATTCGCGTGTTTCATTTTGCATTCTCGGGTCTACTTCGTTCTCTGTCAATGGTTCCCATCCACAAACGACCTGTTAAAATAAAACGAATTGCATCTTCGAAATCGTCTGTCTCCATTTCAAAATGCGAAGTTAGTATTACCTTCAAATCACGATTATCTCGCAGGGCATTCAAACGCACTGAATCTTCGTCCGGTTGAATATGCATATTATTTATAGTAGAAAATAGGGACGCGGGTCTGTCACACCAACTTAATTCCAGAAGCATCTTATCCATTGTAGTCATAACGAAATGAAAGGAATTCTCCAAACGCTCTCGCAACTCCACAAATTCTTGAATTTTTACAAAACTTCCATATTTATAGGCGAACGTTAGGTGATCTGCGCTCTGGTTCCATATTAGAATTAATACAACATTATAAATTAGGTTCGAAGTAATATTTTGGTTTTTAAAATTCTATGCTATATTAATACATACATCTTTGCAGTTTGCGACGAAAAACTTATTGGAAATCTCTAAAGCTGCAGAAGCCGCGAAAAGGTGACCGAGCGGAGCTAGCATTGGAGCAAGTAAATGACCCAGAGAATCTAACTGAATATGTTTAACATCTAATAACGTAAATATATGATATCCTGCCCCTACTAATCCGGCCTCCAAATATATTCGCACAAGTAAAATTTTTATGTGAAAATTTGCAGGACTTGATAATAAACCGCGCTCTAATATTGACATAGCCCTACAAAAGCATGTTATAGTTTTATTACATAATCAATAATCTAGTTAAATCAATTTTGTTAGAGATATTATCACCTGTAGAGATAAGATGCGTCATCGGTATTGCTCCACAGTTCATGCAATAAATGTGTAGCTAAAAGGATGTAAGAATCCGCAGGACAAAAATCTGTTGGTAATCTTCCTTGAATTGGACATAATACATTACCCTTTTCATATAATACACATAGTCGTTCTACTAGTTGCTTTTGTTCATCTATAGATACGTTGGGGGAATGATGCAAACCACAGATACGACGCAATTGTTCAAAATGAATATGACGTCGCATTTGCTGCACAGTTAATGGAAATCCGTCTGGTTCGACATCCAACTCTTCTTCCTCTATCTAAAAAAAAATATGAAAGTACTTTGTAATTAGAAACAGGAGCTGAAAAGCAACACACTTCGAGATCCTGTAACATACCTTTCGAAGCAATTCTAACTTGTCTACATGTGTTAATAAATTTAAGTACAGCCGTAAGTCTTCAACTACACAGTCTTTTTCTCCAAACCATAAGAAATACTGATGCATTAGATTTATTACTTCAGTAGTATTCTCAATGATTCCTTTGCTTTGAGTACTCTTGTATAATTCAAACTGAGCCAAGTATGGAGCTCTGACTTCTTTTTCTGATGTATTTATAATGTTCTTAAAGAATTCTAAACATTCTTCAGATTTTTGAAATTTCAAGGCCGCAGCAAGATAATCTTTATAATATGCCCAATTGTCTATACTTCTCGAAATATATAAAAACACATAATAATATATAATACCACAATATTATGTTTGGAAATTATAACAATATATTGTACTCACTTTTCGTTGATAAGTTCTTTATATGCATTTGCTGCTTCAGGAAAGCGTTCCAATTTTAATAATAGAGCTGCTTTTGCTTGTGAAATGGGCGAAAGATGTATAGCTAAGGGTCCAGAGAGAACATTTAGCATCTCTTCACTTTTACCTTGAAGCTCCAATATCATTAAATATAGTTGGACTTCTTGTTCTGCTTCCATTTTACCTTCTTCAATTATTTTCAACACCTTGTTACCAAATTACATGGTTATTAAAATGTTATTTAATATAATCTACCCACTATAAAAGGTTGTTAATTGAAATATAATTTACAAACCATTCTTTCTGCTAAAGGTAAAATAACTGTTTTCGCTAATTTTTCTTCTGCATGTATAGCCTGCATAACTATACTCATCACAGCCCAAAAATAATAAGGATTTTTTGGTTTTAATTTGTACAAGGCAAGCGCTGTTTGTTGTTGTTTTTTGTAATCTCCAAGACGTACATAGGACATAAAAAGATGCGTTAATAATTCCTCATTATTCGGATCTGCTTTGGCCGCAGCCTCGTATACCTCACTAATTTTGTTCGCTATAAACAAATGTATCTAAAGTTATACTTTAATAATATATTTTTATAAACTCCATATTTTGAGAACTAATCAAGCTTACGTTGATGTATTTCTCTGTAACAAATGCTCATAACCTGTAGAGTAGAGTCCTCACAGGGTATCTTTGAGCGTACTTTATCCATAATAACCTGACACTCATTTTCTTTACCCAATCGCAATAAAGCCAAAGCTTTAAGCATTTGGGCACATTGATTGCTTGGGTGTTTCTTAAGCACCTTATCTGCTTCTTGCAGTGCTTTCTTATTGTTTCCATTATCCAACCAATCTAAAATGCGTAATACAATGATATTACATAACCTCATCACCGGTTAAATATCTCTAATAAATACTTATGCAGCTTGAAAAATGGAAACATTTTATTAACGTTAAAAATATAATTAGCACACTTGCCATATATCCGACGTAACCGACGTTCGTTAACAGTACTTTCCACATGGGCTTTAGACGCCATGATACTTTTTATGGTAATTTTAAATCAACAAACCGAAAGAGCAAACATTCCTTCGTCGAGTGCATTATGATATCATAAGGCAGATTTACAATAATTTTTATACTACGTGACTGATTTCACGATTTGTACAACATACAATATAAAACCTAAAACTGTAAGCATAAATATCTGTAATCTTTAAATTAATCGTTAAAGAAAGATATTATACATGTGTAATATTTTTACGTATGTATATTTACATGTATTGTTCTACACAACTTGTGTAAAAAACAAGTTTTACGTTTAACAATATGTTATATTGTTAAATTGCATAGAATTGCTTCAATAAATTGAATACATGAATNTAATCGTTAAAGAAAGATATTATACATGTGTAATATTTTTACGTATGTATATTTACATGTATTGTTCTACACAACTTGTGTAAAAAACAAGTTTTACGTTTAACAATATGTTATATTGTTAAATTGCATAGAATTGCTTCAATAAATTGAATACATGAATNAATTGTAATTTATTAATTATAACTTGTTAAAACATAGAATTTGCTTTTATGAAACACTTTCAAGTTTTATCGTCAAATCACGAAAACAACTTTTTCTTTCAAAAGTGAAACTTCAATTTTTCTCTGATACTGTACGCATATATTCCTCGAAACCTGTCACTACGGGGAGCCACACAATTAAGAATTCGATGTGTACGTAACACTTTCTTTCCTACATATAAAAATATTCTATGACAAAACCAATTTGTGATTATAAATTCGCGCGCGAAATATCGATCCTCGTTTAATATTTCACGAGTTGTCGTTTGTCAGAAAACATTTATAATGACAACATTCGTTCCTGTAAAAGTATCAGTCAAGCAGTGATATTCTAGCAAAAGTATCAGTTAGGTATCGATATTTTAAAGTAAGTATTGAAGAGATATCGATACGATTCAGTATTGGATTGAAATTGGTCAATTGGTATCGATAGATATCGATGCGATATTAATATTATCCGATATTATCCGATATATCCGTTATTTCACGGACACACCACGCGCTGCGTTGCCTGTCCTATTTTTTCGCGTAACTGTTTTTCGCGAACACGTTGGTGTTGATTGCACTTAATTCTGAGCCCTGGACATAAAATCATGTGTTCTTCGTATGGTAACTTTAGTAACAATATTAATGAAACCTATATTAGACGAAAGATTGTAGTCCCTGCAATGATAAAAGGATTGCGTACTGTTTCTTTTAACGAGAATGAATGTGGGATTATATTGTCGTCCCCTGCGCGGATATTTACATTTCTTGGTATAGTGCGAGATATTAAAGAAATCGCAAAAAATATCTTATATTCTTGAAGATTCTACAACTTCCGTATCTTTTGTTTTGATTTATTAATATTTATGTATATGTATATATATTTTCTGTATATGTATTTAGGTGCAATAAAAGCGATACAATGGTTCGAAAAAGGTAAACGAACATCACACGTTGCTATGAAGATGAATACCTACGTTCGCATTTTTGGGGTTCTCTCCTGTCAGGGAATAGGCGACAACCGACATATTAATATTTTACATATACGGCCATTAGAAAATATAAATGAGTTGACAAATCATTTTCTCGAGGTTATTTATTATATAAATAATATTAGGTAAAAACGAGGTATATTTATTATATAAATATAATATTATGTAAAGCAAATGAGAAAGTAGATAATGGGCCAAATCGTCGTGATGTCGAAATGAAAGAAAAGTAATTTGATTTTGAAAATAATTTTGATTTTGAGATCTAAAATTGAAAACCTAAAGCCAAATATAATTTTGCCAAAGATTGATAATATAATATTACATGTACTGAATGTTTTGTTACAAGATAATTTTTTTNATGAATATTTCTAACTTTAAATTCTTGTTCATTTAAAAATTAGAACTTAATCAACAAAACAAGTTTCGCAGATGATCTGTCTCTTACAAAAAATTATTAAATTATGAATTGTAATTTATTAATTATAACTTGTTAAAACATAGAATTTGCTTTTATGAAACACTTTCAAGTTTTATCGTCAAATCACGAAAACAACTTTTTCTTTCAAAAGTGAAACTTCAATTTTTCTCTGATACTGTACGCATATATTCCTCGAAACCTGTCACTACGGGGAGCCACACAATTAAGAATTCGATGTGTACGTAACACTTTCTTTCCTACATATAAAAATATTCTATGACAAAACCAATTTGTGATTATAAATTCGCGCGCGAAATATCGATCCTCGTTTAATATTTCACGAGTTGTCGTTTGTCAGAAAACATTTATAATGACAACATTCGTTCCTGTAAAAGTATCAGTCAAGCAGTGATATTCTAGCAAAAGTATCAGTTAGGTATCGATATTTTAAAGTAAGTATTGAAGAGATATCGATACGATTCAGTATTGGATTGAAATTGGTCAATTGGTATCGATAGATATCGATGCGATATTAATATTATCCGATATTATCCGATATATCCGTTATTTCACGGACACACCACGCGCTGCGTTGCCTGTCCTATTTTTTCGCGTAACTGTTTTTCGCGAACACGTTGGTGTTGATTGCACTTAATTCTGAGCCCTGGACATAAAATCATGTGTTCTTCGTATGGTAACTTTAGTAACAATATTAATGAAACCTATATTAGACGAAAGATTGTAGTCCCTGCAATGATAAAAGGATTGCGTACTGTTTCTTTTAACGAGAATGAATGTGGGATTATATTGTCGTCCCCTGCGCGGATATTTACATTTCTTGGTATAGTGCGAGATATTAAAGAAATCGCAAAAAATATCTTATATTCTTGAAGATTCTACAACTTCCGTATCTTTTGTTTTGATTTATTAATATTTATGTATATGTATATATATTTTCTGTATATGTATTTAGGTGCAATAAAAGCGATACAATGGTTCGAAAAAGGTAAACGAACATCACACGTTGCTATGAAGATGAATACCTACGTTCGCATTTTTGGGGTTCTCTCCTGTCAGGGAATAGGCGACAACCGACATATTAATATTTTACATATACGGCCATTAGAAAATATAAATGAGTTGACAAATCATTTTCTCGAGGTTATTTATTATATAAATAATATTAGGTAAAAACGAGGTATATTTATTATATAAATATAATATTATGTAAAGCAAATGAGAAAGTAGATAATGGGCCAAATCGTCGTGATGTCGAAATGAAAGAAAAGTAATTTGATTTTGAAAATAATTTTGATTTTGAGATCTAAAATTGAAAACCTAAAGCCAAATATAATTTTGCCAAAGATTGATAATATAATATTACATGTACTGAATGTTTTGTTACAAGATAATTTTTTTTTTGTTATAAGACGTTTATTAAAAGATTATCTTTTTGCTTTCTTTTATATAGATATTGTATACTATTAGGGCATTAAATATATTTTTGTATACACTAATTCTTGTTTCTATTAATATAAAATTTCAATGAGTTCAATCAGATAGTGTAGATTCCATACAATTATTTTTTCCATTTTGCCTTTCCACGTACACATATGTGTAGTCTTGACGCGGCAAGAAGGCACCTTTGTGTTTATTATATAGCTACGGCAGTGGAGCAGTTAGTAAGAGGGGGAATGTAAACATCAAGGTGCCTTCTTGTCGTGTGAGGACTATAGATAGGTATATACTATACTGTAATGGGACTTATTTTTGCACGCTTTTCCTACTTCCTAAGCTGACGCACACATCCCCATCATTTTACTGCGCATCCAATCCGTAATGGATCCTGTCTTAGCAGTGATTCGTCACCCAAACAGAGCAAAGAAAATTTATATATCTACCCTCGCTAATGGGTCAAGCTGCGACCTGGAGGTGTACAGAAGTAGGACCCATTCTTGTAAGCATGAATAACGAACATAACCTAAATAAACTAACCTTATCACATCTAGAATCAACAGATTTGGTATAATATCACACATGGTGAAACGAAAATATAATTGATGACTTACTTAATAATAATCAATTAAAAATGAGATATGCACAACTTGTAATGGGACCAGCTGGCAGTGGAAAGGTATTTCTTTCTTTTTACATATAAATACATAACTCAAGATTATTTAAACATTGAATATAGGAATGAAACAAGAAACGTCTAAATTAATTCGCAATGATATTATAATAAAACATACTCTTATTACCGATAAACATTTGAGAATATAGTAATGAATTTTATATATTTCTTAACAGTCCACGTATTGTTCTGCTATGCAACAACATGCAGCCAACGAAGGAAAAGTGATTGAAATAGTAAATTTAGACCCCGCAGCTGAATATTTTGATTATGAACCTTTAGTAGATATAAGAGAATTAATTCAATTAGATGATGCCATGGAGGATGATGAATTACGATTTGGACCCAATGGTGGTCTTGTGTTTTGCATGGAGTAAGTTTATAAATTAACATTTGAAGACCATATGTATTATCGAATTTGCATTTATTCCTAAATTTGGTTTATAGGTACTTGTTAGAAAATTCATCGTGGCTAGAAGAAAAGTTAGGAGACGTGGACGATGATTATATTATTTTTGATTGTCCTGGTCAAATAGAATTATACACACATATGACGGTTATTCGCCAGTTAATAACAGTATTACAAAATCTCAATTTTCGTATGTGTGGAATTTTTCTAATGGATAGTCAGTTTATGATTGATGGATCAAAATTTCTGTCTGGTACAATGGCTGCGCTTAGTGTTATGATTAATTTAGAATTATCACATATTAATATCCTTAGTAAAATGGATTTATTATCTAAATCTGCGCGGAAACAATTAGATAAGTACTTAGAACCTGATCCGCATAGTTTATTAACAGATATGCAACAAGATTCTTGGAATGAAAAATATCGAAATCTCACAGAGGCTATAGGAAGACTTATAGAAGACTATAGTCTTGTACGTTTTTATCCATTAAATATAAGGAATGAAGAAAGCATGGCAGATATTAAACTAACTATTGATAATATTATTCAATATGGTGAAGATGCTGATGTTAAAATTAGAGATTTTGACGAACCAGAGAATGACGATGGAGATGAAAATTTGTAAAATAATTCTATTTAATAAATTATTTTTATAAAATGTTTCTTTGTAACTTGTTTCTTAGTGTGTTGGTGGGAAAGTAGAATTGAATTAAATAAATTTGCTTCATTAATTTAATTATTTTTAGCTTAAGAAAATATCTGTACATGAAAATGATGAAATATTTACAATGCGAGATTTCACCGTTCCAAATGTGCATTCATCGTATTAAACACGAATAATAGGCATCCAAAAGCTAGCGTTGATCCATGAGCAATAATAGCACTTCCCTCCCAGCCTTCTTCTAAATTATCCATATTCCCGGCTTCTGGGAATCTTGTTAAATTACATTTGCATAATACTCTTTTTCTTTCTGTCTGTTCTTGGGAAAGTAATACTTTTTCTTTTATTATAGCTTTCACTGCCTCTGTTGTTTTCTGTTCTTTTGTTACCAGCTGTATTTTCTCATCAGTTTCTTCTTTTACTTGTTCTGTAGCTACATCGCTATAATTACAAGAATAAAGTACGTTATCAACTACAGTTCCATATTCGCTATAGTTTAATAGTTCATAACGTTTTGTACTCTGCAAGTAAAAACGTGCAAATGATTACAATTACATTACACATATTTTAAATTTGTCGTAAGATGTGTAATTTTAGCGTAAAACTGATTGAATACTTTTTAAATATTATTACCTCGTCAAAGAAAATAATTGCATGCTTTGAAGATATAAAGCTGCAATTACCATATTCTGATAAAACTAAATCACAGTTTGGGCCACTTCCTATAGTTAATGTTTTATGAATCATAAAAATCGGTGGTTTGGGTTTATGATTTAAAGAAAACAAGGCTGCTCTTGCCATCGTATGACAATTGATCGGGTGATAATTTTCTCCATCTGTGTCGAGCAGTTGTTCTAATCGTTGCAGCGCTAATGCTTCCAATACTGGTCTTTCAAGTAACTGTACACCTTCTTTTATGTTGTAACCAAAATGTTCTGCACAGTACTCAACACTACCATCGTCTATACAACTATTTTCATTTATACTTTCTTCTCCTACTTTTTCTATACAATTTGTTTCACTACTTATTTCATCCTTATTTATTTCTTCTTTTATTTCATTATTCTGTTCTACCTCTTCTTCTATCTCCATCTGCTCTTCTGTTTTCTTTATTTCTGTGTATTCAACTTTAAGAGTTCTACAATCATTATTTTCTGCATCTTGCTTTTTAGTGCTCTTATTTACCGATCGTATGACAGTATCATGGTAAAATCGTATAGGATCTAATTCTGGCGGATGCTCGTAATGGAATTTCACAGAACAGGGAACTTTTACTCTTGTTCTACCTTCTAATCTAACTTTAGTACGAAAAAGTGGGTTTGTTGTGCGTGCTTTACGCAAAAAATCTAATTTTACTGCATGTTGATCTATACGTTGATTGGCATATTTATCCCAAAGTTTAATACGTTCTGTTACCCTGCAAGATGTCAATAAATTTTGGTCTATAAAATGATTCGGATGATTAGGACACATCCATCTACCGATAGGAAAAGCTGTAAGTGGAGGATCCAAACAATCTTGATGAAAATACAATGGACAGTAATCACATGCGATTAATGGTGCTTTTCGGCAGCTACGCCCACATTCAAAGCACAAACGTGCTGGTAAAGGTACCATTAAATTACTGTCTAAGCAATGATTTCTTCCTGCTAATAAAAAAGGTATTATTATTTGTACAAGGATATACATACAATTTTCTTCTGATAAGAAATAACATATACATACCATTGGTATTTCCGCTTTGCTGCTTTCCTCTTCTACCCGAAACATAATCTACTTTATTGCTACCAGGAAACATTATTGGTAATTGCAATTCCTTAGGCAATTCGAACTCTCTAGGATTAACTAGAGAGGCTGCCAAAGCTAGTACCTCTAAAGCAGATTTTTTTTTATTCTTTTCATTGCCTTTGCTATCCAAAAGATTTCTTTTTGATGCACACCGGCAAGCATAACATAACCATTCTCCATTAGGAATGTCTGCTGGATCAACTGGTGGATAACTACAAATAATTGTTTCATCTTTATTTAAAATGTATTTTTTTATTATCACACAATTGCAGTGAAAATTCAACATAAAAATGTAATGTATATTGTTTATACATAAAAAGATTGTTATCGATACTGAGTAATTTAAAAATTTTGTTCACAAACTTATATAAGCATAAGTATATTACGCATCAGAAGTAAGAAGATATTCCTACATAA